ACACACACACACACACACACACACACACACAAACACACACACACATACACACACACATACGTATTAATGATTAATGTTCAGCTGCTGGTGAGGGTGGCGTCATAACCTTTTATAAGCCCGCTCACAACTCATACATAAATTGTAAGTGAGATGAACGGCCTTTCCGTTTACCCAGGCCGTAACAATGGACGTTAGAAATGAACTTGCGATAGAAGTGTTGCTTGTTCGCTGAGTGGTGGCGACTCTAGAGCTTGGTAAGGTTAAAGTATCACTGGAGAAAGTTTAAAGGCTTCATATTGTCCAAAACAATGCGCACGTTTAGTTTTACGGAAAAGAAAACGAGACTCTGCTAAACCACTTTTACGGTCATTGCATTGGCTTCCGGTTGAGAAAAGAATTGTGTACAAGTTGGTCTATGTCACAAATGTTTGAAAGATAAAGCACCATCATATTTATCAAATCTGTTAAGACGTTACATTCCAAGTCGCAGTTTAAGGTCATCAGCTGACAAAAAGAAATTTATTAAACCAGCTATGAAACTTTAAACTAAGGGTGAAAGGGCATTTGAATACCAAGGCCCCAAGATCTGGAATGCTTTATAAAGTACTTTAAGAGAGATCAAATCTTTTGATTCATTCAAATGTTAACCTGAGGTATTTCTGTTTTTAAACTAAAAAGATGAATATTTTGAGTGGTTTTCTTTTAGTCAGAACACAATGTTTTATGTTACATTGTGCTTTGTACTGTATTGTAGAGTGCTCTGAGCCTGTGTACTTATATCGGGGTTGAGCGTTATATAAATGTCATTTATTATTTTAAGGTTTAAGCCCATGTTGTCACTCTCTTGTACGATGACATTGCAGAATCTATTAAATGTCATCGTACAAGAGAGTGACAACATGGGCTTAAACCTAAACATCAAGAAAACCGAAACGATGGTGATAAGCAGAAATACTCCAATCCCAACATGCAATATCAAAATCAATGATACCACCCTCAAGCAAGTACAACATTTTAGATATTTGGGGACCATTATATCATCAGATGGTAGATGTCACACCGAAATTAAAAGCCGCATTTGCCAAGCAAAAGCAACCTTCCACAAGATGAAACAGATACTAGCAAACATCAATCTGTCACTGGAAATGAGGAAAAGAGTAATGAAAAGCTACATCGAGCCAATCCTATTATACGGGTGCGAAGCATGGACAATCAATAAACAGCTGGAAAAAACAATTGTTGCGGCAGAGTTGTGGTTCATGAGACGCATGCTACGTATCCCATGGACAGCTAGAAAAACAAATGAAGAAGTCCTGGTTGAAGCAAATTATAGAAAACAACTTATCACGAATATAAGAAAACGACAGGCACATTTTTTTCGGACACACAATGCGGAAAGAAGCATTAGAGAACATTGTAACAACAGGAAAGTTTGATGGAAAGAGAGGTAGAGGCAGACAGAGGGAAAAGATACTGGACAAGATGACAACATGGCTGGGAGCAGCAAGAACAACAGACACCATTGCTGCTTCGAAAGACAGATGGAAGTGGAGGTCCATGATCGCCCACGCCAGTCGGCAAGGCACCGGATGATGATGAGAGTGCCCTGAGCCTGTGTACTTATATCGGGGTTGAGCGTTATATAATGTCATTTATTATTATTATTAAAGAATCGATCCCGGAACCGATTCCCGTGGTTAGTGCTAGAGAAGTTAAGTTCCGATTCCTTTTTACGTAAACTAACGGCCACCAAATGGTTTATTGAATTTTTCTGCTTTTTAAACTTATTTTTGAAAACAAAAAAGTTGGTGCCTAGCTGTGTTTCGAAATAGAGGTTATCCTGGATCCTGAAGCTGCTTGAAGTCAACTAGGTAACCGGAACTGGCAAGGTGTGGATTCATCGGAAGTAATTGCTACTCCATGAAAGAAATCACGCGAACCCGGAAGAAATCATAATATTGGAAAAAAGCTGGGCTCGATTCCTAGGATTCCTAGTGTGCAATAATCGGGAACCGCCCGCCACTGGACACCCGTTTTTTTTTTAAAATCATTGCACCCAGTCCTAGATAATTATTATAGGCCTACACACGCATCCACGAGTCAACGCCATTACTTCTTCTGCACATTAGACACCGGTCAACACATAAGCGTGTCATTTCAGACCCTGTTTTCGCCACGTTTTTCTCTCTTTCTCGGGTTGACGTTTTGTTAGCTGTGCAATAACCCTGTGCCTTGTTCTTTCCCACAGAACTGACTTGGTCAGTGAGAGCAGCATTGGACTGTTACAAGGGAAGCAACGTTCAAGAATTGCAAGTAAGAATTTCCCAAATGAAGTCCCTGTTGAATAATAATAATAATAATAATAATAATAATAATAATAATAATAATAATAATAATAATAATAATAATAATAATAATAATAACAATGATAATAATAATGATGATGATACTAATAATAATAACAATAAAAATAAAGATAACAACTTCAAAAACAGCAACAACAATAACACAATGACAATGACAACAAGAAAAGCATCAACAACAACTGAACCCAACAGCTACGTTAAATTTCAAGAAAGTGAAGAAAAGGAAAAACTTTTTAACGTTTGAAAGTCCGTTTTCCATCGTAATAGCAATAATTTTATCTTGAATATAGCACAGGACTTGGCTGTGTTCCTTGGGAGATCATCACGTTGAAGAAAACTTGATTTTTAAAGAATGCAGCAGGGGTAAAAAACAACAACAACAACAACAAAAAACACAACTCGTCCTTAAAAATTGTGAATTATTTCGTTTTTTCACACGAGTTTTCAAATACCTTTCGACTACAGGACTGCTTAGAAACAATGGTACACATTTATACAACAACGTCCCAATTCTAATAAGGATCAGCTAGACAAGACCCTGGCTAGATTTGATACAAATTGTACAAGTCTATTAGGGCGGCCTGTGGACGCTTTTGTCTTCTTTTTTCTTACGATAAAAAAACTGGAATGGTAAGAACAGGGGGAGGTAAACTACTTGCTTCAAAGATTGTATATTATATATATTATAGATATATATTAACTCCAGAGAGCGGTTTATATTTGTATCAAATATGGCTTTGGCTCACAATGTTGTAAACCTTATTGAGCTATCCTTTTGAAACAGAGCTTTGGGAGCACTTTCATTCGATTTAGCACTTAGTTTTCAAGGAAAGTTTCTCAAAATCCCCCCAAAACATTGTTTGGACCCAAACTGTACCCCCAAAAAACTCGTGTGTGGCCTTATCTCCTCCTCTCTCTCTCCCAGCTACATTGTTCAACATTCCTCGTACCTTAACTCACCCACCCCCTGCT